CCCCAAAACCCCAAAACCCCAAAACCCCAAAACCCCACATTAGCATAAATATTTATACTCAAAATAAAGATGTTGACGAGCTTAGTCACAAGAAATTTCTCCAAAAAGTACGTCTCCTTACTTCAAAACTTAAGCTTAGCCTAGGATAATCTGGGCTTGAAGCTTGAGCACATAACAAACAGGCTTAGCCCTCTGAGCAGTCAGCATCTGCTGCTTAAAACTTGGCGCTAATGTTTAATATAGGATCAAGAAGATCGGTGTGGTCGGAGCAGGCCAAATGGGAACAGGAATCGCAATTGTTGGCGCCAAAGTCGCTGGATTAGAAGTCAAATGTGTCGACCTGAACGAGTCTGCATTAGAAAACAGCAATAAGTTTGTGAGTAAGTCAGGAATAACTGAGTTTTGGGGTTTTAGATTTCGAGATTTTTGGATCTTTTGAGACAAAGGAATATCACTTTTGAAATCTTAAGGAAATTGACTTATGACATATGTCTTAAGTAATTGCTGAAGTGCTGATTTAGCCTTACAAGATGTAAACTTTAAGTTCATCAACATTTTCTTGAGGATTAAGGCCGAATATCTTGGAGAAATAAAATTGATTCGATAGTTGGTGTTAACTCTAGCTATATCATTCACCCTCTTGAATCTTTCAAATATTAACAATGGTATAGAGAACTGGCTTGAAAAAGAAGAAGGAAAGGGAAGACTCACAGCCGATGAGAAATATGATGTGCTTAACAAGATGAGCTTTTCAACCAGACTTGAAGAACTAGACCAAACTGACTTTGTTGTAGAAGCTATCATCGAGAACTTTGATATTAAGAAATCCATTTTTGAGAAGTTGGACAAAATCGTTCCTGAAGATGCCATCCTTGCCTCTAATACTAGCTCCTTATCCATCACTAAGCTAGCTAGCACTGTACCTGAAAGAGCCGACAAATTCATTGGAATGCATTTCATGAATCCTGTGCCTGTCATGAAGCTTGTAGAAGTCATCAAGGGGCTTCAGACCTCCCCAGAGACTCTCCAGACAGTCTTGGATATGGCCAAGAGCATGAACAAGATTACCTCGACTGCGAGAGATATTCCAGGATTCATTGCTAACAGAATCCTTATTCCTTACATCAATGAGGCTGTGTTTGCCCTATATGAAGGAATTGGAACTGTCGAAGACATCGACATAACAATGAAGTATGGTACCAACGTTCCAATGGGTCCATTGACTCTTGCAGACTTCATCGGGCTGGATACAGTTCTCTACATTCAGCAGATCCTCCACACCGAGCTTGGTGACAGTAAGTACAGACCATGCCCTCTACTCGTTAATTATGTCCAGGCTGGATATCTAGGAAGGAAATCTGGAAAAGGCTTTTATGATTATACCAAAAAGTAAATTTATTTCTGACGTGTTCAATAAGACTCTTCCTAAAAGGGGTTTTGGGGTTTTGGGGTTTTGGGGTTTTGGGG